ATCAGAGGAGGGATGCAGTGGTGGAGCAGGATAGTCCGCTCCTTTGGCACTATGGCGGGGGGTGGCGGGGGACAGCAGAAGGTCAGGCACCAGAAAGGGTGGACACCCCCTCCACCCCAGTGTAGCAGAGGAGGATTTGGGTTTGTTCACTCTGTCTCTTGTGAGTTTGGCTAGTTAGAATCAGTCCCCCAGGGCATCATCACCCCTAGGTAAACTGATAGTCTGTTTCTTGAATGTTCAGGCCTGAGAGTACAGCTGTGGCTGAGCTGTACTTGCTGTACTTTGCACCAAGGCCCAGAGCAGCCCAGTTACTGCTCTTCTTTGCCTTTCTGCCTCTTCTCTCCACTTCCCACTTTTGTTTTTTCCTTTCTCATCCACCTCTTACTGCTAATTTGCCTCCCCTTGCAGATTCATCCCTATCCTCTTTGTCTCCTTTAATCCTTTTGAAGATGGTGGCTGTGTAACAGAGTAGGCTGGGATGTCCCCTTCCCTGCTCTTTCCCTCGTGTGCCTCCATCCCCCAGCTTTCTGTGGGAGCTCACAAAGACAGTCATTGCAAGGTTAAGGGCATCAGCAGCCAGTGAATCTGTGCTTCTTCCTCAGGTGAGTGGAATTTGCAGATGTTGCTTCGCTGTATCTGACTTCATTCACCTTGTGGCTGGGGCCTCTCGTTTACCTCCCATAAGGGACTGGCCCTGTCCAGAACTACCTTGCTCCCCACTGTGGTTCTTCATGACCTCCTGCCTTCACTCCTTCCTTCTGGTTTTGCTTGTTCTGTCGGACCAAGAAGGGTGTACCTCATTTTGTAGAGATGTAGCCCCACAGGGCAAGTGATCTCTGTATCTGTTAGTAGCAACAGAGCTTTTGCTTAGGTTTTGACCCAAAGAGGAGACCACACCTCTTAGCAGAGCACAGGGCATCATCTTCTGGAGTCTGCTCAGTGCTACTTGACCAAAAATAGCAGCCTTTCCAGGAACAGTCATGGGAAATCAAACTTTTCTTAGCACCTCACCTCTGATAATGCTTATGCCCTAACACCTGCTTGTGTCCTGGTGACCCCTTGTCGCTCCGAGAAGTCATAGAGTGATGAGCTTATATATGGGTTTCTTTCACTACGTGTGGAGTTTGGGCCTCTAACACAGAAGTGTTGACCTTGGACCAGGGTTCTATTCATCCTTATGAAAAGAGAAGGTGCCCTTAGGTAATAGGTTTCTTGTTGGGGCCCACATCTAGATGCTTCCTCACACAGCATTCTGAGGCCTGTTTAATTCCACTGGGCTCCACTTGTCTCTGGAGGAGACAGGCATTCTCCTTGTAGTGCACCCCGTAGGAAAGTTTTGGCTTGGTGCAGCTCTTCAGAGCACGAGACTGAGAGCAGCTCCATTGCAAGGCCTTGTCCAAAAAGAGAATGTTCTGACTCATGATATCTGGACAGACGCCAGAGGGAGCTGCAGCGCTCTCTCCATTTGCTGGCAGGGCACTCCTTAGCAGGGCCAGCTCTGGGCACACTGGTGTCCAGCTGGCCGTCTGGACATGGTCGGGATCAGCTTTCTCCCAAAGCTGTTGGATTTATATCCCATTCTCTAATCTGATGGAAGAATTCCTGCTCAGCTCTGATAAGCCATCCTGCCTGGTGTGATGGAGTTTGATGGGAGCGCTAGTCATTGGAGCGCCACGGAGCAGTGTGACATTCAGGGGAGATGAGGAAGAGATCAGGATCTAATGGCTTTACCATCTCCAGGGGGTTGAGCAGCTGTGGAGCTGTGCCGGCATTGGGGAGGGCCTCGAAAGGCCGCAGTTCTCGGGCTGCCTCTGTGGTTTACTTTGTGACATTGGGTTTGTTTCTTAACCTCCCAGAGCCACATTCCTTCATCTGACAGAAAGGGGTAAAAGCTCTTTCATCTATCAGACAGGGGTGGTGTAAACAGAAAATGAGTGTCTGGGGGAAGTGTATTTGACAGCCATAAAGCATTATATTGACGTAAGGCATTATTTTTATTTTTATTTTTTTTATTTTTATTTTTTAAAGATTTTATTTATTTATTTGACAGAGAGATAGAGAGAGCACAAGTAGGCAGAGCGGCAGAGGGAGAGGGAGAAGCAGGCTCTCTGCTGAGCAGGGAGCCTGATGTGGGGCTCGATCCCTGGGATCGTGACCTGAGCCGAAGGCAGATGCTTAACTGACTGAGCCACCCAGGCGCCCAAGGCATTATTTTTAAAGCCAGCCATTTATATGTCAGGTATATCTAGTCTGGGGACAGAGGCCCCTTTACTCAGATATGGTCCGTAATGCCCTCTTAAAGGGCTTTTCTCTGTCCAGCCTCCATTTGCTGGGCCTGGGCAAATTCTCTATCTTCCCTAAGGCCCTACAGAAAGAAGGAAGCAGTTTGCTCTCCTGAGAGAAACCTGGATGGGACTTCTCACATTCAGCTAATGTGTATTTTACCACAATTAAAAAAAAAAAATTGACTCACGTATTAGCCCATTTGCCTAAATGCCTTATTTGGCTATCTCATAGTGATATGAAAGTGAGAGTTCATGTAATGAAGTTTAAAAATGTAGAGCTTTCCCATAAAAATCTTGAATTTGTTTTTTCCTAAAATAGCAGCTCTGGCCATGTCAGCCAAGGCTCTGCTGCCTGTCTGTAGGCAGGGCCAGTGCCCTTTGGTGCCTTGCAGCCCCTTCAATTCCCCACTGTGCTCCCTGCAAAAGGAGTTTGGGTTACTTGCCTGGCCCGTGGAGGCATTTGGTTCTGACCCTGTGTGAGGGCCTCTAAATCCCACAGATGGTAGACCTTGCATTTATAATGGAGAAACTTGAGTAAGAATTTAGTGTCATTTTCAGGTGGGAACAAAATGAGACAGTATGGAGCTTTAAAACCAAGTTATTTGTGGAAAGCCCTTACATGGTAACGGGCTTTAGACTAATGTGAGACATAGGATCTACTCAGGCTATACCACCGGTATTAATAAAAAAAATTTAGAAGAACTACAATTCTGACACAGACAGTGCTGTGAGCCTAGACTCTGTGCGTCTGTCAGTTCCCAGAAACCATCCAGGCCATGCCCGTGCTCTCAGTACACCCTTGCCAGTCAGTCACCAGACAGTTGTTGAGTGTCAGCACGTATCCTAAGCTTGAAGGAGAGGTCTTCCATCTGGTGGCTTCCTAGCCCCTCCCCAGAGTTGATGGGACCCTCAGAATACAGTCTCTTGTGCTTGTCCCTAAATATATGTTGGGTAGGTGAAAAAACCAAAAACTGTTAAACACAACTCAGCACCATTCAGAGTGAATGTCGGTGTCAGACTGGATTGAAATCTAGCTTCATATGGTGCATCAAGCTTCATATTGTTTACAGGAGACAAAAGTAAGAAGAGGGAAAGATGAGAAGGAAAAGAGAGAAACATTCTGGGGAATACTAACCAAAAGAAAACTGGCACAGCTTTATTCATATTAAATAATAAATTTTAAGGCAAAGAAGATCATTTCATAACGGTAATTTACTAGAAAATAATCTTTGATTCTTTGCATAGGCAATAAACCTAACAAATGAGTAAGAATGTAGAGGTTCTGAACATTATAGTTAACCAGCTTGAACTGTACTCATCAGCTGTAGAATAGTCATTTTCAAGACATTTGGAACATGAAAACTGGCTACCCACTTGGCCCTGAGGTGGATCTCAGCAAATTTCAAAGACTTTACTGGCAGTTAAGGCAGTGATTCTTAACATTTTGCAAGTTCTAGACTCCTTTGAAAAATCCCATATATCCTGTAGGTCAAGATTGTCAACTTCAGCACTACTAACATTTGGGGCTAGGTAATACTTTTCTGTGGGGGCTGTTCTGTGCATTATAGGATTTTCGCAGCATAGTGTCCCTGGACTCTACCCACTAGCTGCCAGTAGCACCTCCCCTCTGGCAGGGACATCCAAAAATGTCTCCAGACATCGCTAAATGTTCCCTGGTGGGCAAAGCCAGTCCTGGTTGAGAACCACTGTTAAAAGCCTTTTCTTCAGAGAAATAATATAATTTTTCATACACCTTTTCCTACTCCAGTAGCTAAATGTTCTTGTCCTCACTGAGGACAGTTGAGTGGGATGTTTCGTATGAAAAAGCAGTGGGGCAGCCAAGGAGCCTGAAGGTTTGGTCTTTGCCTGCGCACAGCTTCCCCCGTCCAGTGTGTGGACCCTTGTGCGTGAGGGTATGGGAGCATCACAGAGTTCCTGGTGCCGAGGGCCTGAGGGCTCACTGCCATCCAGTTTCACAGATGTTAGGCTTCTGTTTTGTCTAGACCTTTGGTTAGGTACCAGTCACAGAGTTCAAGTCCATAACAGTGGGAGAGAAGAGGCTGTAAAATATGTGATACCTGTGCTCATGAAGGAATGGAAAAGGGAGAGCCTAATGTCTGAGATGAACTGTGTACGGAGTCAGGGAGATTTCACCACGCCAAGGCCAACGTCAGTGTGGGGTTTGCAGGGTCAGTGGAAGTTTGCAAAGGGGAGGCTATTGCGGGCGGGTGGATCAGCATGCTGGGTTCTGGGGCTTAGTAACATCTCAGTGTCACAGTGATGTAAAACAGGAACAGAAGATAAAGGAAGCTAGGGGCGAGGTGTGCTTAGGAGCTTGGACTTAATCTGGCAAGCAATTGAAGGGGTTTCAGTGGGGAAGTGACACAACCAGATTTTTGTGTAGAAAGTTGATTTGAGTGGCTCTGTGAAGGACAGATTGGAGGCCAGGAGACTAGTCGGAAGCTATACAAAGAACCCAGCTGCATGATGAGGTCTAGAACTATCACCATGGCCATGGGGATGGAGGGAGATGAACCTTTAGGGAGTCAGGTTCCCAAACCCGAGTCTAGTAAAGGGAGATCTGCATCCGTTACCTCAAAGGGCACACTAATGTCCCTGCTCAGAGGACACCATCCTTAGCTCTGAAAATAAAGACATAAGTTTTTATCTAAGAGAGATTTTTTTCCACTTTTTATATACATTTTTTTCCTCTAGGAAATAGACAGACGGTTGGAAAAAAAACTGAAGATCACACAAAAGGAGAGGTAAGGCTGCTGTCTGGTCTGAGGGCTCGTGCTCTCTGCCAGTTGAGAGCTGGGCAGTCAGTGGTGTTCTCCAGGTGGCCGTTAGGGTTAGCAGGGCAGGTTCCCGAGCGTGTCCCTCCAGGATGTGGTGGCTGGAGGCTCTGAGAGTGAGGCTCAACTGTCGAATCTGCCTTCTAACTTAGTGGGTACCCGGTGTGAGGTGGTCTGGTGGAAAGTGGGGAGGTGACAAGTCAGAAAACTTGGGTTTTAGGCTGGCTCTGTTCCAGTTGCTCTGAGGTTTGGGACAAGCTGTTTTCCCCTGTGGACATCAGTTTCTTTCTCTGTGACATAAAGAGGTTGGACAGATGATTTCTCTGGGCCCTCCATGACGTGGTGGCTGAGGGCATTATGGGGGTATTCTGGAAGAGAAGATTCTCAGAAATTCTCAAAGACCTTTTTAAGGATATTTTCCCCCACCCAGACAGCAGAGAAAGTGGGTTTCAGAGCACGTGAAAGTTGACCTCAGCCGTCTGTCTTTGGACTTAGGTAACCTGTGGGCTTCCCACAGGGACAGTGAAGGGAGGAGGAGGAGAGGACTTCTCTGGACTTGCTTATCATTCCCCAGGGGACGCCAGGATGCCCTGCCCACCCGCTAGTTTCCTGGCTCCCTGCCTCTGATCAGATTGCTGGCTCCTTGTCTGTCTGCTTGTCTCAGCAACTGCACTGATGTCTGGTTACAGTCCCTTTGCCATGCCATTCCTGTCCCGTGTGGGACTTGTTCCAGTCCCCCTGGCAGCAGCTGAGTTGCTCCAGCCCCTTCCCATCCTGCCAACTGGGGCTCTGAAAACAGGCCCCCCCATAGGCTGTTGGCTTCTGAAGAGAAGCTAGTTGGGGCTGCTCTGGGAAGGGTCTTTGTGGCTGTTGAAGGGCCGTCATTCCTGCCTGGATCCCTTTTTCCCTGGTGGCTTTTGTTTCTCTCCCTTCCTGTGTGGTTTTCCACCTCTCCTTGTGGACACATTGCCCGGTGTGCACATCCACCCGCCTTGGACAATGCTTCTCCTCTGAGCACTGCCAAGCACTGTTTCTAGGATCATCCTTTACCCCAGCCCCGCCGCGTCCAGCATCCCAGGGAGCCATGGTGAGGGAGGTGTCTCTGCTCAGAAGCTCTTCTGAAGAGATGATCCAGTTGTCTGGAGTAGCTTGTCTCTGGGAGGCACAGGTCACTACCAGAAGGCTGAGGCGGTTTGGTAAACCCCGTCTTGGTGCCAGGCAGGGATGGTGGAGCGGGCTCCTTTGTAGTGTTTGACCGGTGTGAGCACCTGTGGTGGAGGCCATGGCTAGAGTGAACACTTTGCTGACCCCTCAGCTAAGGGGTCCTACCACACCGGCCTGTTACACTCTGCTCTGTGTAGGGAAGTTGGGATTTTAACTGACGTCATTGGATTCTGGGCACGAAATGTTTTGCCACAGGGGCCAAACAGTGGTTGATGTGACTGTGAACCGGGGGATAGAAGTCCCAGAATGAGGTGCTGTTCCAGCCCCCCCTTTGCCTGGGGTTAGGTCTGAGGAGCAGACCTGAGAACGACATGAGCTTATGGCAAGGTTGCTCTTTTGGGAAACCCCTTTTGAGGAGTGAGAGTTTTGGTGTCTGGTCAGAGGCCAGAGAATAATGACTAGAATTAGGAGGAGGGAGGGGAAAGTGATGGGGGTGGGTGAGGGACATGGATGGGGCCTCTGGAGTCAAGGGTAAGACTTGTGAAGCTGTATTTGCTCTTTGTCAGCAGGAAATCCAAATCTCCTCCCAAAGTGCCCATTGTGATTCAGGACGATAGCCTTCCCACGGGGCCCCCTCCACAGATCCGCATCCTCAAGAGGCCCACCAGCAATGGTGTGGTCAGCAGCCCCAACTCCACCAGCAGGCCAGCCCTTCCTGTCAAGTCCCTAGCGCAGCGTGAGGCGGAGTACGCCGAGGCCCGGAAGCGGATCCTGGGCAGCGCCAGCCCCGAGGAGGAACAAGAGAAACCCATCCTCGACAGGTGAGTGCAGCCGGTGGGGCTGACCATCCGCCACTCCGCCAGGCCGCTCCGAGGTGGAAGGGGGAGTGGCCTGGCTGCGGGCAGAGTAGTGAGAAGCAGGCAGAATCAGGTCTGGAAGCGTGGCAGCTTCAGCTGCCAAGCCCGACCTGGTGGGCAAGTTCAGGGTCTGCTGCTTCGGCTCGGGACTGCAAGCTTTGAGGTCGTGGCTTACTGCTCTGCCGCCTCTGCAGGCTTGGGCACGAGGGTGGGGAGGAGGGCAGTGTGGCACAGAGGTTAAAGGCACAAACTCTGAGTCAGAATCTGCCATTTCCTTCCACTTCCGGCTGCCTAACCTCTCTGTACCCTCATAGCCTCATCTGTGGGGGAAATGGGATAACGATAGTACCTCCCTTGTCAACTCGTTGTGCAAATAAATGTGTAGTGTTTTGAGAACCCCGCCTGGCACAGCAGATGGTGCCCCACGAAGTGCTTAGATGTTATCTTCTGGGTCTCATAATAGCTCTCTGTGATGTTTGGTGCATTTTCTAAATCCTTTTTCGTTCCCAGCACTTTTTTTCCCCTCTGCAGTCCTAGAGGCTGCATTATGTAAATTTGTCACCTCCTGCTAAAGCAGTATTTGTTAAAATAGGCTCTTTCTGACTTTGAGAGGCCTCCTTGGGTTTGCTATTCTGGGACTTGAACTAATCTATGTACCTTCTTCCTGTCCCTTGATTAATTTGATAGACTCCCGTTCTCCTCTAAGCCTTCACTTGGCAGCCTAGAAGAGGTCTGTTTCCTTGTAGTCTTCCATGTTAAAATGAGTCAGCCATTAACCACATGATTCGGAGAGAAGCAGGAGGGCAGCCATGGCCGGTGCCTGGTCCCTCTCCTGAGCTCTTGGTTAGGGGTCTTTACCTTTGCCCGACACCCTGAAGGGTCTGAGCCACATAGTTCTGTGGAGGCTGAGCTGTCCGGGCTCACTGCCTCTGGACAGGCTGGGCCCTTGAGCACTCTCCCTGCCCTCTAGATTCAGGGGAAGCGCGCTGCCACTGCTCAGGTGAACATAGACCACCTGCCTCACCTGCCCACGGGGGCTTCGCAACTTGCAGGTCCCGAGTCTGCTCGTCGGAGAGGGAGCCAGAGCTGGCTGACAGCTACTTTGCCTTGTGCTCTAGCTGCAGTTTTAAGATTTGGGGACCTCTTTTTATGTCCTTTTTCAGGCCACCCTCTGATCTTCTTCCCTCCAGGCCAACCAGGATCTCCCAACCTGAGGACAGCAGGCAGCCCAATAATGTGATCAGACAGCCTTTGGGTCCAGATGGGTCACAGGGCTTCAAACAGCGCAGATAGATGCGTGCGGGAAAGGATGCCGCCGCCGCCGCCGCCTCTTGGGTCGTCCGCCACGGGTCGCACTGCTGTGGCAGACAGCTGGACTTGAGCAGAGGGAGCGACCTGACTTACTTGCACTGTGATCCCCTTTGCTCCGCCCACTGTGACCTTGAACCCCATGCACTGTGACCTCCCTCCTTCCCCCCCCTTCCCACTGTGATTGGCACGTCTACAAGGGCTGTCCCAAGTCAATGGAAAGGGAAAGGGTGGGGGTCAGGGGAGGGTTGGGGGGACCCACGAAGGACTCGGAGAGGCAGACAGTGCCACTTGGCCACTTGGGGTAAAGCCGGTGCCAGCAATAACAGTTTATCATGCTCATTAATTTGGGATTTCAAAACACAGATGAGAATTCCCGTCCACCCACCTGCAAGTGCATGTCTTCATCACTTAAAAGCAAGTTCCATTTGAAAATATCCTTTCTTTTTTTTTCTCCTTCCTATTTTTGTTTGTTTATACAAATATCTGATTTGCAAGGAAAAGTGCACGGGAGGAGGGGTTTTAGCAGTTTAATGAATTTTTAATTGAGAAAGGGTAGTTTGGTAGTCTACTTAAAAATGTTTCTGGGAAATTCACTAGAAACATTAACCAATAGGACTTCAGTGAGCTTAGCTTCTGTATTCCTACTGCCGCCCAGAAGAGGGGCAGGGCTCCGCAGCCCCCCGGACAGATGAGCACCCCATGCCTATACCTCCCTCCCTCAGCTAAGTCCCAGGGCATCTAGGCCCTACCTGGACACTGAGCTAGCTGTACAGGCTGAGAGAGCCTGGGGAGGGTGCCAACCCCACCTCTAGTATTTCGGGAGATAGGGAAAGTGAACAGACTTCCCCTTCCCATACCCCTCAGGGTGGTTCCCTGCCAGCCAGGCTTGCTCCTTTTGGAAGAGGGCAGGGAGTGAGATGCACTCCGGGCTCGGAAGTAAGGGATGTGAGACTTGCTCAGTGTTTTGCTCTTAGTCCGAGGAGAGCCAGGAGAGAGTGGCTCCAGGACTCCGAGCCTCGTGCCCAGTGTGCTCAGAAGGTGGCTAGATCTTCCCGCTCCAGCAATGCCTAAACTCTCAAGGGTCTGTGGAGCAGCATCTCTGTTGATGGCACCAGCTTGGTAACCAATGTTTCCTTTGTGAAACATTACCTTGGGAGCCGACCGTTCATTTGGGAAAAGGCAAGCTGTGCATTGCCAAGATTGGTGGTGACAGACTGGTTCCCCATAGACCCAGGCTACCCTTCACCCATTTTTCCAGAGCGAGGGCCTGGAATGAAGGCAGTTTCCCCTCTGTCCCTAGAGCCTAGAGATGTGCTTTGGCTCTTTAAGGTGGAAGAGGCTAAGGGCAACTGCGCAGAGCAGCTGTGTGTGTGTGTGTGTGTGTGTGTGTGTACAATCGGGGTCCTCTCAGGCTTTCTGGTCTCTTCCGTTGCACCGCGCCTTATCCCTCAGCCAGCCAGATAGTCTCCCACTCAGCGGATGAGTTTGGGAGTGGGTGAAGGGACTTTTTGTGATTAGGGCAGCTTGCGGTGGCCAAGGTGACAAGGTCGGTTTTGCAGGCTCACTCCATCTTTGGTTCACCTGCCTTTCAACCTTGCCCTGTGGGAGTGTAGGCCAGGCCCAGCAAGCCGTGTCCCACTGCACCTCCTGCTGAGGAGGAAGGGCCAGCTGCCGTTGGAATCCGCAGCTAGCCCATAGCACAGCCTTGTGACCATGAGCAGCCGGGAACTTGTGCGTGCGCAGAGCTGGGACGGAGCTGCTTCTTCGGTCATGAGGAAGCCACAGGCTGTTGGGTTGTGCCCACAGGCTGTTGTGAGGGGGTGACCCCCAGGAGTGGGCAAGGAAGAAGGTCGGCTGCTGCCTATAGCTCCACTGCCCTGACCAAGTTTCCTCCTTCTAGATGCAGTGTCCAGCCCTCGCGTAATAGTGGTTTCTGGCCCGAGATGAGACTGTCCTTTCAGTTGGAGAAGGGCACAGAGGTAGGCCAGGTGGCACGGCCAGGAGTACTGGTTGCTCAGCCATCGGGACCACCTGCTCTTGCCCCCCTCTCCCCTAGCGGGAACCGAAAGGAAGGTCAGCTGATGGGTGTCTGTGGATTGAGGATGTAGTAGGGACTGGTGCTCCCACCTCCCTCTGGCCAAAGATGGGGCTTTGCCCGCTCTGTGCCTGCCACCACCCCCCAGCAGTTGTACCCTTGGATTCCCAGATGGAGAGGTGGCAGGAAATTTTTAAAAAAGAAAGAAATGAAAACAAGAAACTGTATTGTGTTGGGGGGAGGCGGGAGGGGAGATGGGAGAATGGTTTGGATTTTGTGTGTGGGGGGTTTTTTTTGTTTGTTTGTTGGTTTTTTGTTTTTTGTTTTTTGTTTTTTTTTGGTAGTTGTCTGTAACTTTCCTTAAGTGCGCCTTTTTTTTTTTTTTTTTTAAAGTAAGCTGCAGGCTTTGGCTTGGAAAACCCCAGGGGGGTGGGGGTGGGGGGCAGAAACCTGAGGCTGCTGCCCCTTTATCTGCCTTCATGGTACTGTCCCCTTCCCCCAGCTCCTCCTTGACCCCATGAGCCAGGCCTCAGACCTTCCAGCTAACCGCTTCCCATGAGCCACTACTCTGATGTCAGCCTATAACCAAAGGAGCTGGGGGTCCAGGCCTGGTGACCAACCCTTCTCAGCCCACTCAGTCAGGGTGCTCCCCACCTGCAGGCAGGAGGCAACACCCTATCTGCTACCATCAGCCCCTTCCAGAGCCCACTGCCCCGCCCTGCCCTGTCCAGCCCAGCCAAACCCTGCTCTGCCCCATGTGGGTATGCTCTGCTCAGGGATGGGCCGGCAGGGCTGCCCCAGCCTCCCTGGTAAGCAGAGACTCTGGAAACCTCTGGGGTCCTGTTTTCTGGTCGTGTGATCCAGGGGTGCACATGGGCCCCTTGGGTGTCTGAACAGAAGGGCATGGGAGGGAGGGCCGCACCCCTGCAGTCCTGCTCTGCTGGTCTAGCGGGCAGCTGCCTACCCCACCCCACCCCACCCCGCACCGCGGGCTCCTGAGTCGGCAGATTAAGCATTTTATAAATTGTATTTTAAATACATGTTTTAAACTTGTCAGTGCCTTGTCCTCATTTCAGTCCCTGGCCTCCTAACCTCTTGCTGTGCCTGCTTGTTTAACCACTGGGGGAGCTACCTTTGTTAGAGAAATAGGCCTGGGGTGGTGTGTGGGTTGGGGGGGGCAAAGACCCACACACCCTTAGGTTCCAGGAGAAGGGCCCCCATGGGTCCTGGGGCTCTCTTGGTGAGAGCATGGTTGAGACCCCTCCTGCCCTTCTGCAGGGTCTGTCTATCCCTTTTAGGGTCCAGAATCTTTCCCACCATTCCCTTCGAGCAAGTGGGGAGAGATGCTCTCTGCCTTTGGGGGGAGACACTTATCTGAAGAGGGTCCCAGCTCTGTGCTTTGAGAGTGCATAGAAGGTCAAAACTTGGCACCCAGGGTCCCTCTAGCAGGATCCCCAACCCCGGCAGGGTTTCAAGGTGTGTCTTGCCTAAGGGTTTCCTAAGCCTGAGGGAGGCTGGGGCCCTGCACTCTGAGAGCCAAGTGAAGGGGGTGAAAACCTGGGGGCCTCCCCTGGCACCAGACACAGAGGCCAAGGTTCTTGGTGTTTATTGGCTTACCAGGCCACAAAAGCAAAATCCAGCAGCGATACCTGCCTAATGACCTGTCCACCTGCAGGTCATGAACAGCTGCTCAGAGTCGGGACTCCAGAGGTCAGTGGGTTCGAGCCGGCACAGAGCTGAGCCACTTTCTGCTCTCAGAGCCGTGTTCCCTAGGGAGAGAGGTGAGGAGAAGGGTGGGAGGAAATGAGCCATTCCCAGGTGCCCCAGGGGAGAGGCGGCTTCCCTGGGAAGCAATGGAGCCAAGTAGTTGGGCTCAGGGGCCTGATTGCAAGTCCTGAGTTCTTTTGCCCCCAAAGCGCCTGGAAGAGGACTGGCAGGGGAAGCTTCCCTCCATCCAGCAGTCAAGCCTGTTTCCTACCGCTCCTACATGGAGTCAGACTCGGGCAAAGGACTTGCGAGCTAACCCCCTACGTGGTGGTACCAGCCTGAGAGAAAGATGGTATGTGCCACTGAGTCTGGGCACAGCAAGGCAGAAGTGCCCTGACTTAAGCACAGTCGGTGTAGCACGTGGGCCCTCAGTAAAGCTTAGCTCCTTACTGCTTCCGTCCTTTCCCCCTTGTCCCCCTTTTCCTCCCTGGAGCAGCAGTATCCTGGGCATCATCTCCTGGAAGGATGGATTCCCCTTGGGTTAGGCCAGGGCCTTGTGAAAAGAGGTGGGATGGGCCTGGGCTGGAGCTCCTGCCTTCTGGGCACCCACCTGCTTCCTTGAGATCCTGACTGGAAGAGTAGGCTCCGGATGTCAGGGCCCAGGCTGGTGGGGGTGCACGGGTCCAGCACGCAGTGGCTACCCTGCTTCTGACGGGTCATCTTCTTGTTCAGCCGAGGGCAGAACGGGACACAGGGCACCTGGGCGTAGGGGCTCTGCAGGTTGGCATCTGGCAAGGGAGGAAGGAGGAGGCAGGAGCGGGGAGTGCCTCAGAGCAAGCCCAGCCTTGGGAGGCAGGCAGACCCAGCTGAAATCCCAGCTTTGCCACATCCTGAGCTAGGTGGGTTTAGGCAAATCGGTTAACCTCTCTGAGCCTCTGTGTAAGCTGGGGCTGAGTACCCACCTCACAGAGCTGACGATGAGGATTAAAGGGATAATACATGCACAGCATGTCGCTGAACGCCAAGCACAGTGTAAGGGCTCGTAACAGCTTACACAGGAACACGTATCTTTGTGATGGGTCCTGGCAGTCTGGTAGGCACACTAGAGAGACTCTGGAAAGCTCCTAGCCTATCACTTGGCACACAGTAGGACTCCTAGTTTAATCAGTGGCAACTGCTCTTACGGGGAGGCAGCCTTGCCCAGTGAAAGCACAGGTTTTGGAGTCAGACCTGGGTATAAACTGCCCTTTCTTGACAGGTTAGCTGTGGGGCCCTGGGCCTTGGGCTTACACTTGCTCAGTTTCACTGTTGTCATCTGTAACATGGGGTAAATATGTGATCATAAGCACTAAATTCTAGCACATCTACAAAGGGCCTAGCATGGGGAGTGACCCCAGTGGGTGTTCAGTAAATGCGGAGCTGCGATTGCTAATCGCCCTCCCTGCTCAGTGGAGGCTCTCGGGACCAACGTGTGCTCAGGGCTGAGCCCCAGGGAAGAGTGCAGAAGGCCCTTGTCAGAGGGCTAGAGGTGGGGTGGTGATTTTCAGACCATTGACTGATGCACACAGTTAAGCCCAAAGTGGGAAATCATGTCTCTCAGCTCCTGGGTCTGGCTGTGGGCCCAGGGAAAGAGGCCAGGGGGGCAGGAGAGCAGAGTGCTCGCCGTGCCAAAGGACCTCACCATAGTTCTGCTGCTTCAGCCGGCTCAGGATCCTGAGGACCCTTCGTTCTGGGACTTCCAAGTCTGACTGCTGGGGGTTGTAGGGAAGCTTCTTCCGGGACCGCAGCCGGCCTATGGCCAACTCCATCTCTCGGGCCTTACAGGTGCCTTCCTTCAGCTTCTTCTGGTAATAGCTGGGGAGGCAGTGTCCACCCAGCTCAGCCTGGCTGTGTTTAATTCACCTCCCCTCCCCCCTCCCTCTTTCTGAGCCCCTGTTCTGTCTGGCCAGCTCTGGGACAGGGACACAAGCCCAGGAGTTAGGAGACCTGGGTTTTAGTCCCAGCTCTGCCATTAACTCCCTGTCACTGCCTTGCGTTGGACTTCAGTCACCCCGACCCTATCTAGGCAAGTCACATGACTTCTCTGGGCTTCAGGTTTCCCCTGGGTAAAATGGATCAAACAGTCTTCACGTTCTAGGATTAAATAACAAGGCCCATCAAGCACTCAGCAACGTGGCCCATGGAAAGCCTGGTCAGTGTCCCCTATGCTTTCCATCACTGATACTTTACTTAGATGTACAAGTGCTCGGTAAGACAGCTGTGCGATTAACCTGCTCATCTTCCAGATTTGAGTTTTATTTTCTTGACTCACGGCGACTTGCCTGCCCACTAGACTGCGGCTCCACTCATGCATTCAGCAGATACTCAGTGGGTGTTTACTGCAGGCCGGCCATGCATCTAGGTGCTTGGGAAAGCAGTGCAGGAG